ATTGTAAATTCTCGCTATCTTTATAAGTAATTAAATGATGATTTTTGAGATGTAATTGTAATGAAACAACTGATGGAGATATTTCGGATAATATAAAACCATAAATTCTCCACATAACTTCAGGAGGAGAAATCCACCTAGCAGTTTGATATCTGAAAATTTCGTCAATAGAAACATTATCTTCATTATCACCTATGGAAAAAGTTATTCGATCATGTCCTTTGTAAACATAATTGTATAAATATTTAACAGCTTTAATAGTTGAACATATTTCTACATTGATATGACAATCATATTTAGCTGTTAAATAAGGATTATAAGGTACAATCCATCTATTATCTAAGAAATGCCCCCTTACTTTTACTTTTTGATTATCATCACAACGTTTGTATCGTGGATAGGAATCATTACCGAGTGAAGTTATCATTGTATATTCTCTTGGGTATTTATTTTTGCATATTTTATTATTTGACATACAAAAATTATTTGGATTTAAATTTTCACACGGACCATGGAACATATGTTTCACAACAATGGAATGTAAGTGTGGGTAACATTTTTTGTCAGGAATTTCACAACAAACAATTTTGTCAATTAAATAAGTCGTAGTAATTTTTGATCCAGATTTTAAAATTAATAAAAGATGAGCATCTGGAAGACCTCTTTTTTGAAATTCAATTACATATATATATGCAGCAACGGGACCAAGGACATGCCTTTTGAATAAATCAATTTTTAATTCTTCTAACTTAGCTCTAAATATTCGGGTAAGCAAATCAGGTCTATTTTGTTTTTCATCATTATGTCTTAATTGTTGTTGTATTTCAGGCCAGTTAGGATTGCAAGTTATTGTTATAAAAATATCGGGTTTACCAAATCTTTGAACTAATGCCATAGCATCCATATATCTCTTTTTATTATCTCGAGGACCTCCTGTGAAAGAAGAGGGTAAAATAATTCTTCGGCCAATTTTATAACCTCTACTTTCACCAACTTCAACACTATCAACAATACATTGATAAACTTCAGCTCGTATTTGTTTTTGATTATTACGAAAATAATCTAATCTGGAAGTTTCAGTTTTTACGTACATATCAACAACATATTGTTGTAAAAGCCTACCAGCATGAAGCAAAATACAGTTACCTGAGTTTCGAACTTGTAATTTATAACAGTA